GGGTCCGGGCTGGGGATTCGAACCCGCCACCTTAGGTGTACGTGGCTGGCGCCTTAGCCGGGTGAGCTATAGGCACCGAGCTGGTTTATTTTTTTTTTTAAATACAGGTGAGGTCTGGCTATGTTGCCCAGGTGGAGTGCAGTAGGTATTCAAAGACTGATCAGGCTCAGCGCCTGTGGCTCAAGTGGCAAAGGCGCCAGCCACGTACACCTAAGGTGGTGGGTTCAAATCCAGCCCCGGCCTGCCAAAACAACAATGACAGCTGCAACCAAAAAAACAGCTGGGCGTTGTGACAGGCACCTGTGGTCCCAGCTACTTGGGAGGCTGAGGCAGGAGACTCACTTGAGCCAAGGGGTTGGAGGTTGCTGTGAGTTGTGATGCCACAGCACTCTACCCAAGGGGATAGCTTGAGGCTCTGATTAAAAAAAAAAAAAAAAAAAGGCTGATCATAGTGTACTCAGTACAGTGTCCAACTCTTGGGCTCAAGTAATCCTTCTCCCTCAGCCCCCCCAAGTAGCTGGGATTTTGATGTGTACTACTGCACCCAGCACTGAATGCATTTTTTTTTTTTGAGACAGAGTCCCACTTTGTCGCCCTCTGTAGAATGCTGTGGCATCATATCTCACAGCAACCTCCAACTTTCAGACTCAAGCGAGTCTCTTGATCAGCTTTCCAAGTAGCTGGGACTACATGTGCCTGCCACAACCTCACCAGCTATTTTTAGAGATGAGATCTCACTCTGGCTCAGGCTGGTCTCAAACGTGTGAGCTCAGGCAATCCACCCACCTTGGCATCCCAAAGTGCTAGGATTACAGGCGTGAGCCACTGCACCTGGCCCACTGAATGCATTTTTTCTTATCAGATATATTGTGGGGTGCTACCAGCACTTAGTGGGTGGGGCCCAGAATGCTACATGTTTTGCACTGTCCTGCACTGTGAAGAATTGTCCTATATCTCTTAAGTCTTTCCAATGTCCTGCCAGAGATCAATGTAGGTAAAAAACGTGTTTACAATTACTTGTACCTAAAACCTAATTCCATTATACATATAACCTCAAATTTTGGGAGGCTTGTTTTTTTTTAATGGAATCTTCTAAGAATGCAACTACCATGGACATCATCAACAGAATGTTAATCTTTAATCTGGACTCTAACCCATTTAATCTACCATTTCAGAAACTCATGTCACCAACAGCAATACTGCTCACATTATCCAAGTTGCAGGTGAGTACACCTGTTGCATTGGCACACATCTGAGTAACTCTCGCTGTCATCTAGCATAGTTGTGCTTCAACATTTACATCCGGGAACATATATTCTTTTATTGTAACTTATTTTCCTTTGATGGTCTTCCCTATCAGTTACAAAATATTGATTTTTAAAATATTAATAATTATGTAGGTAGGTGGGATTTATCATACATGCATTTCACTGTTCAGCATAGTAAGAGGGGTACTACAAACTATCAGTTAAAAAAGGGGGCACGGGGTAGCAGGTTTCTATGGAGAATGACAGACTGAGCTTAGAGCCACTTCAGTGCTTAAGGGTCAGGAAAAGGAGGAGCAAGGAAAGGCAGACCAAGTAGCCAATCAGGTGAAAGGAGACCAGAGGAGGCAGGAGTGTCAGCCGGGCAGAGGAGGATTCAAGCAGCACAGCATCAGTACAGGTTAGGCATCCCAAATCTGAGAATCTGAAGCCCAAACCGTTCAAATCAGTGCCAACAAGATGCTCAAAGGAAATGGTCATTGGAGTGTTTTGGATCTGGGATGCTCACCTCGTAACTGTAATATAAATGTCCTAAAATCTGAAAAAAATCCAAAATCCAAAACACATCTGGTCCCAAGCATTTTGTACAAGGGATACTCAACTTTATCTGAAATGCTGCTGGGAGGTGGGATAAGGTGAGGGGCCAAAACTGGCTCCTGGCAAGATGTTGGCCATCAGTATCTTTGGTGAGAGTGGTTTCAGTGGCAAAGTGGGGTTAAAAGGGCTTAGAAGGAATGAATAAAGGCAGCTAGTCTACAGCCCTTTTTTCAAGAAGTTTTACAAAAAAAGGGAGAGGCATGGGTGACAGCTAGAGAAGGAACAGAGTCTAAGGATGACTTCTTTAAGATTGATACCTCATACTTTTGACACTGATGAACTGATCTAGCAGAGCAGGGGAAATGGATTATACAAGGCCTCGGGGGACAACTGCAGAAACTATGTTCCTGAGTAGAGAGGGATGGGATCCGTGGTAAAAGTGGGGTGGGCTGGCCTCTGGGGAGAAGGGGGTAAGGAAGTTAGTGTGCAGGTCTGGAAGCATCAGATGACAAGGAGAGTGATGTGGAGGTTTCAGGCACATAACTGTCACCTCTGATTAGGATCAAGCATCAAAGGGAAATCTAAACTCTGGTCAAACTGCTGAGGGGCCCCTTAAGAACTGTAGTCAAGGCTCAGTGTCTATAGCTCAGTGGTTAGGGCGCCAGCCACAAGCACTGAAGCTGGTGGGTTCAAACCCAACCCAGGCCTGCTAAAACAAACAAATAAACAACAACAAAAAAATAGCTGGGTGTTGTGGAGGGCACCTATAGTCTCAGCTACTTGGGAGGCTGAGATAAGAGAATAGCTTAAGCCCAAGAATTTGAGGTTGCTATGAGCTATGACGCCATGGCACTCTACCCAGGGCAACAGCTTGAGACTAACTCAACGAGAGAGGAAAAAAAAAAAGAACTGTAGTCATAAACTTCAAGTGGGACCATTTGGTACAAGTTTTTTTGTCTAGCTGCTGGGAAACTAACCACTGAGATTTTGCTAGGTAAATTTAATAGGAGGAGTGTAGGTAAATTTATAGGAGGAGTGTAGGAGTGTAGGTAGCATTGAGGGCAGGAGAGATTATAATGGCAGATCAGGGTAGCACCCATAGCTCAGTGGGTATTGCGCTGGCCACACGCACCGGGGCTGGCAGGTTCAAACCCGGCCTGGGCCTGCTAAAAAACAACGACAACTGCAACAACAACAATAAGAAAAGAAAATAGCTGGGTGTTGTGGTGGGCACTTGTAGTCCCAGTTACTTGGGAGGCTAAGGCAAGAGAATTGCTTAAGCCCAAGAGTCTGAGGTTGCTGTGAGCTGTGACACCACAGCACTCCACTGAGGGTGACAACTTCAGACTCTGTCTCAAAATAAAAAGGGGGCAGGTCATATAACTGGTCTTGGTAGTCCGCTTGCACAAGGCTGGGTCCCGTAGCTGGGTGGCTTCTAGAATCCGTCCCTCTGGTGAAAACCATGGCCTGTCCCTCCACTCTGCACAGCCATTCCACCCTAGCCAACCTGACTCTTCACTGCACGCTGATTAGCTCCTACCTGGGCCTGTGTGCTTGAGGATGAAGTTTTCATCATCAAACTTCTTCCCGTAGATGGATTTGCCCCCAGTGCCATTGTGGTTTGTGAAATCGCCGCCCTGGCACATGAACTGGGGGATGATGCGGTGGAAGCTGCTTCCCTTGAAGCCGAAGCCCTTTTCATGGGTGCACAGGCAACGGAAGTTCTCTGCGGTGGGGAAAGGAAAAATGCTGAGGTAAAA